TTGGAACGCAAGGCTTTATCTGCTGATCATGATTATACAACTATTTTCTGACACTTACAATGGCACTTTAGGAAGGATCTTTCGCACAGCCATATCGATCTCTGAATTGCCCTGGAATCCTGGAGTCGTATTTTTCTGGTGTCGAGGAAGTGGAGTGTGGTCCTGAGTAAAGCTCTTAACACCAGGTCCATTCAGTGCTTCTCCAGTACAACGTGGCCATCACCAAAAGCTCAGGTTTTAGAGAAAAAATTTTGAAGTGCTTTAATCAACAGATCCAATCCTTAGTGTGCTGTTAGTGTCTGGGGAAAATAGCAGCTGTAAGTGTATGGAATAATCTCAGAAGGGAGGAGCACTAGTAGGGGAATTCGAAGGGCCTGAACTGCTCACAGGTCAGGTCCCCGCGTGAGGAGGAGTGGCTGAGCTGCACGGCCAGGGTGGGAGCAAAGACGGCTGGCCACACACGCTGCTTGGCAAACCTTGGTCAACCCTGCAAATACATACGTATCAGTGTATCAAAAATGTCTTTGTAACAATCTAAAATATAAAAATGTGTATCATGGATTGTGCTATTGAAAGCAAACATTGGTTTCCTGGGTGTGATGTAAAACTGCAAGAAGGAAACGAGGCTCTTGGACCAAATGTCTTTTGATTGTAAGGCTTGGACAGTGTTGTTGGAGAAGGCCCGGCCCTCGCCAGCCGTCTTGGCCTCCGTCAGCCGGTGACCTGGGCTCCTGGCCAGGACACCAGGCTCAGAGCCTGAAGCCAGGGCTGCACAGGCCCAGTGCCTGCCTTGGGCCTGCAGGGTGGTCAGGAGGGGCCCCTTCTCTGCAGGGCCACAGCGGCCCCGTGGGCTCCCAGGATGGCCCCCTGGGACCCAGAGCAGCCTCCCTGATGGCACCCAGGATGTCTGGGCCGCTTCCTCAGAGGCTGTGGTGGCCAAGTTGGCCCTGCCCGGCAGCCTGTGTTCCCGGCACTGGCTGCAGGACCTGGGCCCAGGCTGAGGCAGGCTCCTGGGGGTGAAACTGCTGCCTGCTAAGTCCTGGCACAGTTGTGCTGTTCCTGTATCTTTCAAATCTTTCTGTTTTTCTTCTCCCACGTGGGTCACACAGATGAAGGGTTTCATTTGGCAGATTTGCGCCTGTACGTGGCAGACTTAGTCACGTTCACCGTTCACCCCGTGTCCCCTCTGCCTTCTCCCTGCTTTCACAGTTTGGGGGTTTCAATGCATATGTTTTGCTCAGATCCAGCCATCACTTCCCGCCGCTCCTGCCTTTTCCTCCGCCCTCCCTTCCTCTTGTCCAGGGGTCTCCCGTCTGCTCTCTTGTCCTCCGTCTCCATCCCACATTTAGGGAGAACACGTGGCAGGCACTTGTTTTCTATGGTGACAACATTTTGCTCATTCTCTTGGCTGAGCATGCTTCGTGGTGAATATAAACCGAAGTCCCTTCACCTGTGGGTGGGGACTAACCATGCACGCTGACTTCCTGGGTCCTTCCCCCTGTGAACAGGAGCGTGGCCCTCCTAGTCAGAGGCAGCGCTGCCTACTGGCCTTCACTTTCCCCACGTCTTGTCCAGTCTGATACTCTGTGTGGGGGACACTGGGGGCTTTGGGGCCAGGAATGCTGTGGTCCTGGTCGGATAGACTCGTGAGGAGCCCCTATCAGAGCGAGAAGGCAGAGACCAGCCACGGCTGCACCGCTCTAGGGCCCGGGCCATGGCCACTCTGTCCTGTGGTTGTTTTGGAAGAAGAAGGGAGCTAGAGAGGGAAGGGGTGAGGAGAGAAAGAGTGAAGGAAAGGCAAGAAAGGAAGGAGAAGCAGGGTAGAAGGGCAGGGCGGGAGTGAAGGAAGGGAAGAGAGGAAAGCCAGGAAGGAGGGAAGGAGCAGAGGAAGGGAGTGACGTGCCCAGGCCGCTCTGGCAGACCTAGTCCGGCCCTTCTGAGGCTTCAGCCCCTGTCTCTCTGTCTCTCTCTCTCTGTCTCTCTGTCTCTGTCTCTCTCTCTCTGTTTGACTCTCCCTCCCTCCCATGCCATCTCTGTCCATCCCTCCCTCCCCCTTTCTTTAGTACAAAGCACTTAGACTCCACCCCCATAAGGAGCCACGCCCCCACCCCAGTGTGGTTCCATGCCAGTGGAGAAGGCTCTGCGTGGACATGGATGCAGCCTGGGCCACCTGCTGTGGCTGGGGCAGCAGCCTGCTGACAGCCATTGGGTCCTTTGGGTCTTAAACCTGGGATGGTGCTCTTTTCCTTCTATTTTTAGAAGTAATGGGAGAGGAATCAGGGACTAAAAAACATAGTGTCCTTCACATCTCAGGCAAAATGTAAAAATCTGGCAGCGGTGGGCGGGCAGGATTTGGTTATCAGAAATGTTTGTCTGGATGTTATTGTATTTTAAACATAAAGTTATTTGCCAGTACATAAACAGGAGATATCAGGCAGAAGCCCAGACTCTCCACAGGAAATGAGAAGAAATGTCAGTGGAAAGGACCCTGGCTGACGAGGGCAGTGCATTCCCATCTGCCTGGCTCCTTGCTTCGGGGCGGCTTCTCCGCTGTCCTGCGGGTGCAGGCTCTGGCTCGGGGAGCTTCCCTCAGGTCTCCCAGGGACTGAGTTCTGCCCTCGGTGTCGCCCTGTGGGGCGCGAAGGGCATCCAGTCCCCTGGAGCCCTAGACTCCGACTCCTCCTTCGAGTGTGATCGTTGCCTCCGTACTCGAAGGCTGCAATGCACTTGTCCTGGCCTGCCTCACCAGTTCGTGTAGCTTAGGAGACTGACACTGACCTCCAGTCCTCATCCACCCCGGGCTGTGACCAGGCCCATGAGCAGGGTGTTTTCCATGAGTGGTGTGATGAGATGCATGTCGAGGGTTAAGCACTCAGACACAATTACACCCTTGAAAACGAACATGCTCAATATTTGGAAAATCAGCTTTTGGCCAAAGAAGACATTCTTTGAGGGCGGCTCTGTTTTTTGAGTAAAAGAAAAGGTAGATAAAGCTTTTGCTTGTTAAGTACCTGAAAACATAACTTAACATTAGAACTCATCTTATTTTGAAATACAAAATCAACAGAAGTGAGTTATGTGTTTACTGAGGCTGTTTCTGTCTGTGAAATCTGACTGCACTCTGGCCACAGTTCATACTTTCTTTACATTTTCCTTCAGTAAGGGATTGACAACAGCAGTTCCTGTCCGATGGAAGGCATATTAGGTTACCTTATCTGAGAGCTCCTACCCATTTTGCCTGGTTTAGGGTTCAGACTCTGCACTTCAGAGTTTAATTAATATAATCATTGGAAAATGTTTGCCTCTAGAGCAGGAGATTAAAATAATTTATTTACCTTGAACCCTGTGAAGGAAAGGTGACTTGTAAACTAAGTGAGTTACACTGAAAGGATTAAGTTGGAAACAAAGAAGTCTAAAATAAACTTCTGACTTATTGGGAGTTCATAGGAAAGTTAAGTAAAAATTCAGTCCTTTGAAAAGATAGGAAAATATACATATCTAAGTATAATGTGATCCTAACGTATTTATGTTCACCTGTTTCCTCAATGGGAATTCTGAAATATCTAAAACTTTTAGACATGTAGATGATGATCAGATATCTTCTTACATCTTAACGTATTAATTTGCTCCCATGCATATACTGTAAGATCTGGCATTACATAAGCTGTTAACTTAGAACTATTTTTCCCACCCTTACAGCTCATTGATTGGTTTTATTCAAGTCATTCGCATGTGATTAGTCACCCGCCCTGTCCTCGCTTAAACTCCCATTTGGAAGCATTTCTCCCAGTTCCCCAGCACACTTCACTTCGGCCTCAATTTTGAGGCTCAGTAATTTTCCAATACCAGTGATTGTTACTGTAAACTGAATGCCAAACTGTAAGCACCATTTGCATAGTAGAGAGACAGTTATTTTCAAAAAAGTTTTTGTCCTGCGGTTGATTACCTTTGCTCTCTAGCAAGCAACCTCCCAAAACAGTGCTTCTTAAAGTTATCTTGAGTAGATCTTTTGCATAATCCTGTCCAACATTTGCAGTTGTGAGAAATAACTACTCAGTCTCTAGGAAATTTGCTTTCCAAAGCAGATTTTGCTAGATTATACCTGCAAGCACTTAAAGCTAGTAATGATGGAGTTGTTCAGCAGAATGTGCTTTCTCCAGGCAGGAGAGCTCAGGGGGTGCTTGACCAGGACTGATTCCCCTTCCCTGAAAAATAAGCTCGGGGCAGAAGCAGACCGTCTTATGTTTGTACATCTCTAATACTCATTTGTGTTTCTTGTCCCTTTTAAGATTATTCTCGAAATTTTTAGCAAAGTGCAGAAAATGTAATAAAGTAGATAACCTATTCATTGCTCAGGGTGACATTATCAGTCTTGAGACAGTTTTGTCTCGTGCATGTCACTGTCATGAAACACCCAAGTGTGAGGCATGCATGTGAGGTATGGTGGGTATGGTGGGTATTTTCTGTGAATGTTTCCCTGGCTGCGTACTGGTATTAGGGTGAGGTTCATGTTAGAAGTTGGAGTTAATTCAGCAAGAGATGTTGACCTTGCATTTCCTGATGACCTTGACTACACCATGGCCACACTGAGAGATGAGGATGCTGGCTGTTATCACCAGGGACCCCGAGGAAGGGACGCGGCGGGGCCCGGGTACGTGAGTGAGCCTGAGAGGACGAGTGGCTCCTGCCTTGGCTGTTCAACAAAATACTCACTTCTAAAACTTTAGGAGGGTTGAGGTGGCAAATATTCTGACATGCGCATTTGTTTATTTATTTTGCATTGCTTGCATGCTAGGCGAGTGCTCTACCACTGAGCTACATCCCCAGCCCTACTTCTGAGTCTTTAGGAAAGGGTAACTCACTTGTAGGGCTTCCAGCATTCTGTGCAAAGAAACTGATGTCATTACTGTATCAAAATATGATAGTCAAGTATTCCTCATGTTAACAATAAATTAAATAAATGAAAATAGTGACGACTTGTCATTTTTATTTCTTAACAGTGGAAAGAGTGGAACGAGAAAACCTTTCAGACTATTGTGTTCTGGGCCAGCGTCCAATGCACTTACCAAATATGAACCAGCTGGCGTCCCTGGGGAAGTCCAGCGAGCAGTCTCCGCACAGCCAGCTGCACCACAGTGCACCCATTCGAAACCAGGTGCCGGCACTGCAGCCCATCATGAGCCCTGGGCTGCTCTCGCCCCAGCTCAGCCCGCAGCTTGTGCGACAGCAGATTGCCATGGCCCACCTGATCAACCAGCAGATCGCCGTCAGCCGCCTGCTGGCCCACCAGCACCCCCAGGCCATCAACCAGCAGTTCCTGAACCACCCGCCCATCCCCAGAGCGGTGAAGCCCGAACCCAGCAACTCCTCCGTGGAGGTCTCACCTGACATCTACCAGCAGGTCCGAGATGAGCTCAAGCGGGCCAGCGTGTCCCAAGCCGTGTTCGCCCGCGTGGCCTTCAACCGCACACAGGTACCCTGGGCGCTGTTGTTGCGGTGGCTGGAGTGACCTCAGGAGAGCGCACCTGGGGCCATCTTTACCTCATTCTAAACTTTCATGGTCTCCAGAGCGCATGCCACTAGAGTATAATCCCTGGGTCACGACGTATTGTCCCTGTGGACCCGTGCATGAACAGGATTAACTAGCTAATTCTGGTGGGAACATCTATGAGCCTACCACCGAATCAGGACCCAAAATACTACCAGCGATTTGGGTCTGGATGCTTTACTTTTCTCTGGATATCCACTTGATCTTGAATTTTACTATTATCGTTCCTTGGTTTTTGGTTTTTTTTAAAAAAACTAGTTGTAAATTACTTGTGCATGCCCAAACAACCTGTTGTTTATCTTGTTTTGAACTTTAGAAAAAGAGTATCATTATGTCATAATTCCTGTAATTTTTAGAAACCCTCTAAAATGTGCACCTTAGGGTTAAGATATTGATAGTGGGCAGAGTGCTCGTGTTCTTAACATTTCAGTCATATGCTGATATGTGAAGAGTGCGCTCCTGGGTGTCTTGTCTGGCCCTGGCTGGTTGCATGACCAGGTCTTTTCCAGCAGGGCTTCTGCAGCCTGAATGCATCAGCGTTGCCCACAGGGGCTGTTAAGACACAGATTTCCGGCTGCGCATGGTGGTGCACACCTGTAATCCCAGCACTTTTGAGGCTGAGGCAGGAGGATCACTGTGGGTTCTGGGCTACATAGTGAGTTCAAGGCCAGGCTGAACTACATGGTGAGGCCCTGTCTCAAAAATAAACAAACCCTACAGATTTCTGGGTACCACCCGAAGTTTGACTTAGTCTGGAGTAGGGTCCAAAAAATCTTATTTCTGAGGTGATTTTGATGCTGCCGGCTTTGGGACCACACTGAAAACTACCCATCTAGGTCCAGTGTGCGAACAGAGGGGCGGCTGAGCGGGGATCCCAGCTCTGCTGGAACAAGGGAGCCCGGTGAGCACCCCGGGGCGAGGGAGGAGTGTGGGAATGTGGCAGTAGGTCCTGCGGGGAGAAGAGCATGGCGGCAGGACAGGCACACACCAGCCTTCGAGGGGAAGCCTTGCTCTGTGAAGCCGGGGCGATGAGAAAAGTCTTGAGGCCGAGAGCAGCCGGGGAGTGTGTGGCCTGTGTGTGTGTGTGGGTCAGACTGAGGGGAAATGAACCTCGAGAGGCGAAGGTGCAGAAGGCATCTCCGAGGAGAGGCCCTGAGGGAACCAGTCCAGGGCTGAGGTGGTGGTCAGCTGGGACAGTGAGGGCTGTGGCACGAGTCCAAGCTGTGCTGAGAGCCCCAGCCTTGGCTGCCATGTCCCGTGAGGAGTGTGCTGCAGCCCAGCGAGAAGAATTCCATCTTGGGAGACTCTGCTGTGTGCCTCTCGTGACAGTTGGGTTAGGCATTCCGTCCAGGAGGCTGCCCCGGGATCCGGTGGAAACACTGGAAGTTCCGAAGGAGGCTGGTGGCCGTGGGAAACGGTGCAGTAAGAAGCAGCGTGCGATGAACATAGGGGACCGTGGGAGGAAGATGGTGCCTGCCTGAGCTGCGCCCGAGGCCAGTGTGACCCGGGAGTGACGATGTGGGGAGCGGGTGGAGTGAGGCGTGGGGTGGTTTGCACTGGGGCTTTGGTTTGGAAGTGCTAGCCAGAGTTTCAGGAGGATTTGCAGCAGGCCTCCCGATGAGGATTGGTCCCAAGAGTTGTCCTCACTCTGGGGGAAGAGACTCCAAAGTCCACAGAGCCTGGCATTTGAGGAGTCAGGGCTAGCAGGGGAGAAAACACCGGTAGCACCAGAGCAGACAGAAATGCCAGGGAGCGGACAGCAACACCGTAGGAAGCCAGGGACTCTGAGGCAGGCTTGAGCCACACCAGGCACGGCTGTCAGGCGAAGTCTGGGCAATTCCAGAGGCCGGTTCCACACAGTGTGGGAGCAGGAGCCAGGAACTGGCAGTAAGAAGGGATATTTTCAGAATATAAGAGTGGATTACTCTTCCCAAGTCTGGATGGCTGAGGAGGTCACACACAGTGGACAGCACGAGTGTGACCGGGAACCATGATTCAAAGGATTTGAGAGGTGGTTTGGGGTCCCCACTGAGGTGAGCTGGTGAGGGGAACCACTGTGCAGGCTGTGACTGTGTCCAGGCTGGAACCGCAGGACCTGTGGGAGTTGGAACTTTGGTGTTGATGTCCAGAGTGCGCAGGAGAGCATGGGGTGAAGTTGCTGGCTCCCGGGGCTTTTGGCTGTGTAGTTTATGGTCGGTCGGCCTATATCTCTTAGACCTGAGTTTGGAAGGCCAGGGAGACCCGCATAGCTCCGACAGTGCTCTCCCGCTGCTCCGGTGAGGTGCAGAGTGCCGAGGCAGCTGTCCATGCCTGTGTCCTTGGACGGGCCTGGTGGCTGGGCCCCAGCAAGCTCATGCCTCTGAGGGCGCAGCCCCGGAGTGTGTGGCCTCACGTCTGTTGCCTGTGGGCACAGGAAGGCGCTTCGTGCCCAGTCACTGCCTGACTGTGTAGACAGCTCCTTCGGCCAAGGGTGATGGCTGGCATGGCTGTGTTGCTGTGGACTGTAGTTGCAAATATGGGGTTCCTTTTCCCCAGAGCGCGAAGCCCGAGAGACTCATGTTGAGGTGGGACACAAGCCAGACCGCCCTGCAGGAGGTACCTGCCATGCTGCCTCCTGGAGCTGTCTTCTGCACCACTCCACCCTTTCTGTTTCTCTTTATGGATGGCACTGCCATCTTTGAAGTACCAAGTTATGAAAGGTCTAACTGAAGCGTGGAACACACTTTACTATTTTCCCCTGGCCGCTAAATGTGTAAGATGGCTACAGCCGGCAAGAAACATTCACTTTCAATCAGCATGAGCTGGGTTCATGGGCCAGCCTGGAGGATATCGAGTGGAAACTGCATAGGAATGTATGAGTATTTCCTTTTAAAATTCTGCTTTTAATTTGGGAAAGCTTTTCATCCCTCTGGGATCGTAACCTGTTGTGTATAAAGCCCAGCCTAATCAAGGTAGATGGTATTGACAGAGTGACATAGTTTGAACTTAAGCAGGAGGTCAGCAGGCAGATCGTTCTGCTGCTCAGTGAGATCAGGCAGCTGGTTTTACCAGCAGGCTTGTGAAGCAGAAAATCCAGTGCTCTGGGCCCAGGAAGCCAACTGACGGCTTTCCAAATGCTGGGGCTGCTTTTGAGTGGAGTCGGGCATTTAGGGGTGACATCATAATTTGCCAGCCTTAATAAAAATAAAATTAATATTGTGGATTGATACTATATATAACAAGTGAATTGTTCATCTTTGGATGAAGAGAACTTTAACTGGTTTGTTTTTCTCAAACCGAGTTTTTGCTGGACACCTATTGCTAGCAGGAGCCTCCTGCTCAGCCCCTTACTGCTGTGTGGGCATCCTCAGGTGCTTGTGTATTTTCCAGAAACAGTTCCTGATCTCTAGACCTCATCATCATCACAAAACGCATTCTGATGCATGTTGTCACCATACAGTTTATTTCCTGGATTGTGCGTGATGATTTTACTTAGAAGAAATCTGGCTAGGATTGCAGGCTAAAATCATACGGAAACACTCACAAATACAGCTAGAATTGTAAACAGAAAGCCCCATCCGCTACTTTTTCACATGTAAGGCTTCTGGGTGAGATGCTCCAATTCCTAGTGAATGTTTGAAGAAGCCGGTGCTTCACACAGAAGCGCCAGGCCCGCGGCAGGCCCGTTGCACTTGTGTGTGTTTTCATAGTGGTGACTTCTCCAGACAGAAGGTGCGTTCGTTTGATAGAACGATGCCTCAGCGTGCTTCCTGGGAGGGGCCGTGCCGAAGCAGTGTGACTGCTGAGCCCGACCTCCTCACCCCCGGGAACACTGAGGCTGTAGAGCTTGCTTTTCTCTCACCGACAGGGCCGCTGGGGCTGATGCCGAGAGGTGACAGCCAGATCCCTGGTCCCTGTCCTCTGGGGCTCCCCGGGGGTCCTTCCTGGCCTCACTCATTGGCAGGCCCCCTGGGAAGGTCTTCCTTAGCAGACCCTTGCAGGCCCCACATCCAGGACCGCTTGTTACTCCAGAGTCCAGGCCCAGGCCGCTGCCAGCCCACTTGACATTTGGTTGTGCCACACAGGGCGGCGTTGGAATAAAACGCAGCTTCAGTTTCGTCCATTCTTCCCAAAAAACAAAAGCCACATGCTTTGATGGAGCCAGCATAAATGTTTTACTCCGCCATTTCATTTTGAAATGAGCTGTTGTCGCTGTGAACCTGCTGCTGCAGTGTTAGTGATGCTGTTACTGTCCTGATGCACCTGTGGGTGTTGGATGGAGGTAGAGAAGCAGGGAGTGAGTGCCTATGAACGAGACAGAAGCAGGCCCAGGACGTGAGAACTGGGCCTGAACAACTGCAGAGCTGACGGAGTGGAGCCTCCCAGCAGCTCTGCCCGGCCCTCTGTCCCTGGCGCTCTGGAGGGGGCTGGACGGTGTCAGGGGAGTGAGGATTTCAGGAGCAAGAGGACCAGTGCTCCCTTATACAGCTCTCCCCTTCACACCCTTCTTCCCCGTCTGTGCGCTGCTCTTATCCTGGTGCTGACTTGCTTCTACTTGCTGGGCCTGTGGACACAGCGAAGTTGCTGGCCTGTTACCTGTGTTTCTATAGCTTTGCATTTCCACAGTGTGCTTGGGAAGCCTGATCTCAAGCTTTTGCCTCTTGCTACAATGTGGACTTAGAAAAACTAATCAGAGCCTTATGCCGTTGTGCAAAGGCTGGTGATGGAATTTGAAAGTCTTAATGTTACTGATGTCCAGTGACCCATGATAAGCAATGATTCATAAAATATGTACGGCAAATGTTCCTTAATAGACAAAATATTCTCTAGTTTATTTAAAAATCCAATGACCTACATCTTCATGTGTTCAGAAATCCCCACTCACTGACTTCACCTCTCCCAGAGCCAGCCCTTCCTTCCGTCTGAGTGGACCTGTTAAATGAGGT